ACTTACCTCCAATCTTCGCTGACATTAGGAAGAAGTTGAAAGCTTCTTACCTTAGAAATCAGAGTCAGTATAATTTGAGGAAACGAGACATGCGATTCTTTATTGGCGATCGAGTTTTGAAGCGAAATTTTGTAAAGTCAAGTAAGGGTGATGCCATTTCTGCTAAGTTTTGTCAGAAATATATTCCCTGTACTGTCGTTCGAGTAATATCTCCTTTAGTATATGAATTAAAAGACAATTCGACAAATAGACGAATTGGTCAATTTCATATAAAGGATTTACTTCCAGACAATACCGTAGATGACATAGCATCCTCTTCCTCAGATGAAGATTAACTTAGGTTTGTCTAAGAAACTTAATCTATCATTTTGACTATTATTGTTTTGGCTCGGTTTTGATTATGATTTGGTATCTTCTTGGAACTTTATTATTAATCACCAGATATTGTATATGTACAGCTTATTCCTTGCTGATTATTTGATTATATAAGTTGAAATTATTAAGCCTTTTCATTCTTATTATTAGGTACACTTATCTGTGTTTACTTTATACTGGTATGGAACTATATAAAACCCTACTATTATCTATTTTGTCTGTTAATTTGATTATCATCTTTTGTTATTTGATTTGCCATGTTGGAAAGAATGTTATGATTTTTTGTGTATAGATTTAGTCGCTTAAATGGTCATAGTCATACTTTATGTTAATTAATATCCTGATGTACTCTATGGGATAATTTAAAAAAAGCAGTTACTAGAAACTATTTATATACTTAATTTGTGGTTTTTTTTATATACTCTTATGCCATATGGACTATTCTGCCTATGCATACTTGATTGAATACGTGGGTTCGAAGTTGTTGTTCAATTCGAGGCCTCAGTTGTTCGATGAGTTTCGGAATTCACCATTTTCATGACGGGTTGTGCAGATGACTGGGCAGTAAGATATTTCGTTCATAATTAGCTAACCATCTTCAATTTGAATTCTAATTTGAACATTTTAGTCTTAATCTTGAATCTTTCCAGACTATGTTCAATTACAAGTACAAAAGATTTCCTTTAGCTTGTTTTAGTCTCACTTATGTTAAGATATTCTTGTCATTGCTACCTCTATGGCTAGCATTGTTAGATTGCTTTCTGAAATTAGTAAGTTATATTTTAATCAACAAATGACCGTTTACAGTTACATTCACTTCTTTCCTTATGCATTCACTTCTTGATTTTGGATTTAAAATTAGAACATATCTTGTTCTTTCTTAGTAATGTCAGAACGAATCATTAATTTGCAGTTTCTACAGAAATTGGCCTGTGCGTTCTTGATGTTTTGTTGTTGATTAATTATTTATTTATTATTTGCTTGATTACTTACTTCTTTAACTATTACTTTTGGATATTTTGAGTAGTTATTGTTGGCTTACTAAATGCCACGTAGCTCGCTTATGTCTGATATTCTTATAAATCTGTTGTAGCTACTTGCTATAGTTAGTGAATATCAGCATGTTAATTTGTTTTGATAGTGATTTAGATTCATGATTTATTCGATGAATATTATGGTTTAGGCACATATTACCGGATGTGGGTATATGTTGACCTAATTTATTTAGATTATTTGATTATAGTGTGAATTGGTTACCCATTTGCCTGGTCGATTATACCTCTGGATATGCTATTCTATAAATCTGTTGTCCACTGGTTTATCAATTTTGGATTTAGTGCCCAATTCAACACTTAAATTGGTCTAATATATATTTGGCATTTTCTTATGGTTACCTTTTTGGATTGTCTGATTAATAGTTGGAAATTGGTGACTCATTTGCCTGGTTGATTATATCTTTGGATATGCTATTCTATAAATCTGTTGTCCACTGATTGATCAATTTTGGATTTAGTGCCCAATTCAATACTTAAATTAGTATATATGTTTGGAATATTTTTTATTGTCACTTATGATTTGTGAATCGGTCCACACCCTTGCCTGATTGATTATCTTTGGATATTCTACTATAAATCTGTTGTCCACCGAATAGTCAATTTTGGAGTCAGTGTCCGATTTCACATTACTTTGAGATATATGATTATTTGTCTTTATGACTATTTTAGGCTACATGAAAGCATTTTTGTTACATTGGCGCTAAGCGTTAATGTAGTTTATGTACTATAGATAGGATGTGACTTGTAAGTCACTTAGTAATATTTGGATATCTTTAGATTTCTCTTTCTTTCTACATTATTCATAATCTGTGGTTACTTGTAATCTTGCGAATCGATGTAGATTGTTATGAAGTTAGTTTAAGTTAGTGTATTTTAGCTACATTTGGCAAACTAGGGCCATGGCTAAAAATTTAAATTTTAGATTGGTTTGTATCATTTGCTTCCACTACAATGATGGAAACTTTGGCTAACCAACGGTTAAACGCCTGTTTGAGCTATTGCTATGACTGACGGTTCATACCTACACTATGATTGTGGTTAGATATGAAAAAAAAAAAATTTTTCATTAAAATTTTTTTTTTCTCCAAGTAAGAGGGGAATGTAACGAGAACGTTACTATAACATTCCGGAAACATTTTTTAAATAAATTTAAAATCTCAATCCTCTTAATGATTTTCTGAATCTTAAAAATTTAAGTTGGTATGAAACAGCGACACCAAGCGTCCAAGTTTGAAATCATAGTTTAGCTGGCTCAAATTGAGTATCCGAATCGCACTTCTGTTTGAACTTTGGTAGCAGAAACTTAAGTCCAAGGTAGGGGCCACGTGGCGTGGTTTTTGGAATTTAAGTTTTTTTTATGAAGAAGTAATAAGAAGTTTTAGTTTGGGGTTTTTGTTTGAAGTGTCCTATTTGGTTTATAGCCACTGTGAGCCGTAAGTATCCAAGTTATAAATAAAACGACAATAAAAAAAAGTCATCAGCCATTTTGAGATCCTGTATTGTCACGTTTCAATTCGATATACTTATCTGAACTTTTTCCATCCGTCATTAAGAAATATTCAACATCTAAATAGATAGTGTTAATTGATCTAAAATCATATGTATTTTAATTTTATTTCCCGGCCGTAAAACATAATTATCTATCGGTAAAATTGCTATTACCAGTATCGTTAAAATATTCTGTCTTATATCGCTCTTTATAATATAAAATAAATTCGTATCATATGCTTTTCATTAAAATTGTCGATATAATTAATCCATTTAAATTGTCAAACCATACGACGATCAAATTATCTATAAATCCATTAAGTTTTTTTTTGCTCTCACAATTCATAAGTAACATTTATAAAACCTTTCAAGGTTCATAAACCTTGTTTTTTTTTCCTCCTCTGTAAAGTATAAGAAAAAACTCTAAAAGAAATGTTTTTTTAGCCTACCTTTGGGATTCCAACAGAAGTCGGGGAAGAATTTGCTTTTGTTTTTTTTTTTAAATTTGAATAAGAAGTGTCGATTAACTTGAAACCTAGTCCGGTTATACCTGGTTCCAGGCCTGTTTTTTTTTCCTTGCCGTAGCTGCTCTCCAGAGGTCCAGATCTGACCTTCCGATTACGAAAATCTTAGGAAGCCAGCGGGAATTATCTCCCTTAAAATATAGTAAATCTAGATTAAGTTTATTTCTTAGATTAATTTTTTTACCTATGATATTTTTTGTATAAATTTTTTGTATATTTAACTTCTAGTATTTCATATAATAATAAGAGTCGTCATTTTTTTTAATAATTTATTGAATAATATTTAAATACAAATTGTCAACTACAGGTAGAGGTTTTTAAGTCCTCCCTTCTAACTCACTTGTATGGTTTCTTGTGTACACATTTAATCAGAGAGTTATATTTTTTAGATTTTATTATCAATATATATTTAAACGTTTGGACACTTATCTCATCAAGATAGTGTCCTTATTACTTGGTACTCTTATATTCAATAAAGCCAGAATACAGAGTTGCATCTCTGAGGCAAATAAATTACCTTTTTAGGTCAGTTATTACCATTTTTTTTTCCATATTTTATTATTTGTAAATTTAGATCATCCAGGATCAGTTGTATAACCAGGGCATTTATTTTTTGTATATAACTAGATTAGCTGTACATAATTGGTGGTGGGTATATTAAATTTAGATTGTATATATTTGGCTAGGGATTAAAGTTTTGGTGAAAACTAAATATTTCAATTCATACCTATATCCTTTCTTTATTTTAGCAAACAGCTTTACAAGATACCTTGGAAAGTTTATGTAAATACTTTCCTGGCGCCCACTCACATTTTGGAGCAACTTCTATAATCATTTTTATTTATCTTATTTGTATACCTATAGTTTTTTTTACTAACTCGTCATTCATCTTCTAATTCTACGGTCTCTGTAGGGCATGCAAATTGGCCGAATTCTCCTTTGAGTGTCAAGTAGTCACTCTCCGGCACCTTCTGCTAGCCAGCTTAAATTATATGTTATCATTTCCATTATCCTACACGTTTTGTTACATTGGCGTGCCACAGCACAAAGCACTTTTGTTACAATTTAAAAAAGGAAATAGGTTCTAAACATAAACGATACAATGTAGAAGGACTTAAAAATACAAACAAAAATACAGAATATAAACAAAATTTAAACAACAAGCACATATGTGGGAAGGGTGCAGGAACAACATGAAAGAAGCAGCTGAAGTGAAGTGCTGAAGCAGCTATGACTTATTTTCATTATTTCTTTGCTGGAGTATGGTCTAAGTAGCAGATACAATTAAGATTTAAACTACTACTTTCGGATTTTTGTTTTCTGGCCAGGTTTTAAACCATTGACGGCTAGATCATTCACAGTGAGATGAATGCAATTCGTCTGCCTGTCATTAAATCGGCCATATTATAAAATATGTATCCTGTCAATTATTCCATTTAAGAAAAATCTGTGTACATTACGTTATGGACAAACATTTAGGTTAAAAATATATCAGGCATTCTACAAATGTTTCTTGATCTATTCACTTACATTCTGAATTAAAAACGATTTTTTTTAGAAATTGGCGAACCAGCTATTGTGGAGAGGGCCAAATTACTTGATGAAAATATAGCAAATGTTGTATCACGATCTCTTAATATAGCCGAGGAAGACATTGAAACAGTTGGTAAAAAACTGAAAGCATTTTATACTAATTCTTCTTTCACTGAAGATAGAAATGGATTAATAAAGGTAAGAAAATACAATATGGACTTTTCTAACTTTTCATTGTATTGATTTAGAACTATCTCAAACTAATCGTAAAAGTACAATTAATTTTTTTATCTGAAATCGCGTTCAGTAGCCACTATTAAAATCACAGTATTATGTAAGTGGGTCTCAATTAAAGTTATGGTTGTTTCTACTAATAAAGGTCGTAGATTTTAGGCAAAATAGGTGTTTGTTGTATTATAGCTCTTCCATTGCAATCTGCAATGACACTTCACCACAATTCTTCCCTTCAACACTTATTCTGGCATTCTGGGCTTGTTTCGTGCTTTCTGAGCTTCATCGTGATTTTGGTGACAATTTTTAATAACTTCTCTTCATATTCGTAAGTATGGACTATGACGGGATTAATTTTATTGTTTCTGGGTGAGGTGATGATGATCTATGACGTCGAAGATATAACATTAAATTATACCAGCTATAAACATATCCAGATATTGTGAAATTTATTGAGGTGCAGAAACAAAGATAAGGTGGACACAATACTGAGGTTTCAAATAATTAGTACACAAAGAAATTGACATTCTAGAGGGCAAAAGAAGTAGAAGACGACTGCGTAAAAGATGGATTGATGATGTGGAAGATGACTTTTAAGATGAAAACGTACAAAAGATTTGACAGTCGTGATATGAAACATTATATCTAATCTATATTGGAATCACACTGCCAAGGTAAGAGTTGATAACCAGCCGAGATATCAAAATACAGAGAGGAGTCCGCCAGGGTTGCGTGCTGTCACCACTACTCTTTAATGTCTACAGTGAAGTGATATTCAGATACGGAAAAAGCGTTCTCAGATTCAATAGAAGGTATATTTACCATGGGGAAAGTTTTGAATAACTTGCATTTTGCAGACAATACAGTAATAATGTCAGATAACAACAATGATTTACAGAACGTAATGCAACGACTAAATGAATGCTGTCATGAATATGGACTAAGGATCAATTAAAAAAAAAACTAAGTGCATGGTCATGACTAAATCAGAAGATGCAAACATCCAATTAATTGTTGAGGATACTGCAATTGAGAGTGTGGATACCTAAAAATACTTAGGAATATGGACAACATCAAATGTAGACCAAACAAAAGAAATTAGTACGAAATGGCACGAGCATCATTGGCTAAACTTAAAAAGTTTCTTTGTTGTCGGGATATAAGGTTAGGACTAGCCTAGGAATGCTTCGGTGTTACGCATTCACTACTCTTCTTTATACTTAAAAGCATGGACATTAAAACGAGTGCATCTAAATAAGTTGGCTACCTTTGAATTTTGGTGTTACAAAAGAATCCTACGAATATAATGGACTCAAAGAATGTCAAAACGCATAAATTACTAGAAGAATGGGAAATAAAGCTAAAATAATATTGATTATCAAAAGAAGAAAACTTTAGTACTTAGGTCATGTTATGAGAGGCAAAGATACTTATTATTGCAGCTTATTATGAAAGACAAAATTTGAGCAAAGCGAAATGTGGGAAGACGAAGAATATCGTGGATTAAGAACTTGAGAGAACGGTTTTAATTTAGAGCGACAGTCAACAGGGTCTTCGTAGCCGTGTTAATTTCCTACCTTCGATAGAAGATTGAACTAGGAAAAGAAGAAAGTCAAAAGATGGGGTAGAAGTTTCCAGGAATCGACGGGAGTGGCAACTTGTCTGCAAGCTGCCCAAGATTCACAAAGGATTGTCGAGTTAATTAAGATGATGATGATGAAAGACTGATGCACCTCTATTTGCTTGATTTTATTCCATTTTTTAACTCAAGTAAACCATAGGAATAAGAAAACCAAAACATGCCTATCTCTTAAGGATGCCAACGGAAAAATTCTTAAGTATGAACAAAATCGCAAAGACTCGAAAGAATATGTTACTGCTCTTTTTCAAGATGACAATCGAAAAAACTTGTTACACACTGTATGCAGCAACGAGATGCATACGGCCCCAATATATTCAAATCAGAGGTTAAAGATGAATAAAACAAGCAAAAAATAGTATTAAATATGGCAAATTGTACTTATTAATCTGATGAGTCATGTATTTTTAGGGATGAGCCACGATCTTTTTAAAAATAATTTAAAACCGCACCAGAACTGTTTAGAAACCAGAGGAGCCCTATTATGTATACATGTTCTTCTCAAAAAACTTGTAAGTTTCACACAAACGTTTCGTTGACTATGAAAAAGCATTTGATCGAAGTTAACATGACTTACTTTTTAAACGCATGGAAACTAAAACACTTGAAGGCATGATTAAGAATACTAAACTATCTTTATTATAATCGTGTAGAATCTGTTTAAAGTGAAGTCGGATGTATCAAGAAATTGCTTATACTAAGTGGAGTATAATAAGGCAGCGTCTTATTTAATAAAACCTTAAATGGCAGACCAGAAAAAAAAATAAAAATTAGTGGAGAAACAATAAATAATATCAAATTTGCTGATGATACAGCCATTCTTACGGAAAGTGTAAAAGAGCACTGTAAAACCTGTTAAATGAAGCAAGACGTAGCAAAAGTTTCAAAATTAATAATGGAAAACAAAGTAAATGATAGTTGGCAAAATAAATATAACCTGCCATTTTAAATATCTAGCTAACTGATTAAACAAAAATGTTGAGTTTGATGAGGGGAAAAATAACACATATTGAAAAATCCAAAAGTAAATTAAATTGTGTGTAGTCAGCTGTATACCATAACCAAAAATTTTATTTAAAAATCCTTTGTCAAAGGTATATATATTTAAAAAAAGATCCTTTCGGGCTGTATCACAGAGCGTTTTTGGATCAACAAGTCCATCATCAGTGCTGTTACCAGGTATACATAACTAAACAATTGAAAAATCACATAAAGCATTTATGACATGGAAATTAATTTTCATTTCAGAGCATTTCTGATTCCCGAGTAACGTAGATGCGCAGCTTAGTACGAATTTAAGAATTATAGTCGACAAATGATTGGTTCTCTGTATCATAAATAAAATAGAATAATATTTTAAACGTTCAGATTTTTTTAATTTAAATCTACACCAAAGATTATATACATATTCCACATAATTTATTTATTTTTAGTTTACTAGTGACGAAGTGTTTATACGATCAACACTACGGGAAGCTCAAAGTACCTCTCGACACGTACCTGTGTATTTGTCTGTATTATCATGGTTACCAGATAACAGTACCGATATAGGTAAGTTAAAAAAATTCAATTAACTAACTCTTTTTAGTTGGTTTCATTAGTTAGTTTAGACAGAAATGTATTTGGTCTTCATCGTTCTCTTTGAATCCATAGTCGTTCACTTCTAGACATATGTAGGTCTTATCCAGGTTTATCCATTGATCTCTGCTTTAAAAATCCATTACGTTCTTGCAGTGAAACACATAATATGAGAAATCAAGGCGGATACGAGCTACTCTAATGCATTTTGCAGGGTAAAATTGAAGGAAAACGAGCCCCAGGACGAAGAAGAATATCCTGGCTTGCTAACCTGAGAGCATAGTATAGAAAGACCTCAACACAGCTATTTTGTAAAGCAACCAACAAAATCATCATAGCCAGAATGATAGCCAACGTTCGGAACGGACAGGCACCCTAATAAGAAGAAGTATCTATTCTTGGGAAATATCACTCTTATCTTCTTCATTGTTCTCAATATCCTCGCCTTTAAGTATATAGAACAGTTTTTAGTAACGGAGGGACATTTTACCGTGCCAAGGCTCTAAAATTCTCAAGTTATCATCCAGTAAATTCCTGTATATTGTAGCACCCGGAATACGTATGTTTCAGTGCAACCATCGTTCGATATAACATCAACAAAACCAAAGAAATGCGATTTGGTACCAGAAACAACCAACCTATTATGATCAACGACCAGAAAATTGAGAGAGTAGCGGAATTTGTATATCTGGGCAGCATAATTGACTGTAATGGGGGTACAGAGCGTGATGTACATGAAAGAATAAATAAGGCTCGCAACGCCTACTACATGCTTAACAACATATGGAAATCCAGGATTTACCCAACTAAAACGAAATTAAAAATCTTCACTACAAATGTAAAAGCTGTATTACTGTATGGCTGCGAAACGTGGAAGATATCAGCACCCATAGTACACCAAGTACAAGTTTTCATCAAGAGAGCGTTACGAAAAATCCTTCGTATATTTTAGCCTAACCGAATCTCCAATGAAAATTTATGGAACCAAAGCAACCAAGAAAATGTCATAAAGCAAATAAGGCAAAGAAAATGGAGATGGCTGGGCCACACACTCCGTAGACCGCCAAATGACATTGCCAGGACAGCGCTGGATTGGAATCCCCAAGGCCGACGGAAAGTAGGCAGACCTAAGGGAACTTGGAGAAGGACAGTACTGAACGAAGGGAGAAAAATGGGAAAATCCTGGCTTGAAATCAAAGCACTAGCCAGAAATAGAGTTCGCTGGAGACACTTGGGACTATATATATATATATATATATATATATATAATATATATAATATATATATATTATATATATATATATATATATATATATATATATATATCGTTCGATATAGAGTTTTATCAAATGATCAGTTGATCGAATTATGGCAAACTTTGGCCAATTATGATGACTTTGAAACTCTGGCAGACTTACTGCTTCTGTTGGATTGTAATGTTGCCGACAACAAACAACTTTTTGTCGGGCTTAGAGGGTTATTGTCGGGGCAATCTGGCCCAGGTATTTGATATCGCAAACAAGAATCTTTTTACTCCGTGTGAAATAAGGTGTATTAGAGAGAACCAACGTTTTAAGCTTGATTAAAACTGTTGAGAATATATAATACTCCTAAATTCAAGAAAATCCTCAACGATTACGAAATCTTTGGCGAAGGCTAAGGCAGAAATCTTAATGCCCTCTATGATGATATTATTTCTAGAAGTATGTCTAGAAGTTCGTCAATCAGCAGATTAAAAATAAAGTGACTTAAGGGATCTCCCTGACCAACAGAGTCACATAAAACTCAATCTAAAATATTTAAGACATCCATACTAACTTGTTGAGACCACATTGAAGCTTGTTGTCCTTAATCTAGGTGATCAAATATAGTGATCAAATATTGCGCGTAAGATTCCATCAAACCTTTTGATCCAGATGGAGAAAACAGTGTTCTTTAACCCGTAGGTGAAAGCCTCATGAAATCATATTTGCGGGCAATACTCTGACGGTACTCCATATCTATTTTTTATTCACACCTATCCTATAGTCTATATACCCAAAGAACACTTTAAGTACTGTAACTAGACAAGCTCTAACTTATAGTCTCACAACTGCTACGGGCAAGTCTTGACCGTGCTACACTGCTACGGCTATAATCTCGCAAGATTTGACAGATCTTTGGAGCATTGCTTAGGCAATACTGTCCCTTTAATAGCACGGATCCCATGTATATGCTAGTTTTACAGTCACATAGTAAGGAAGGCACTAGTAGTAGTAGCAGTCTTCTTGTTCTTCTTCTTTTTATGTAAACATGATTTTGTCTGCTTTTAATGTGCCTTCAGTAATTTGTTGTTCTATCGTTTTTGTTGTCTTTCTACTGATCGTCTTTCTAATGGAGAACCGCCTCTTTCCGCCTTTACTACTATATTTGTTGTCATTCGGCTTATATGATCGTTACATTCTACTCTTCCATTTTTTACCAAGTCCTTAATGGACTCCAATTTGCATTTACCTTGTATGTCTGTACTTCTTGCTATATCCCATAGTTTTTTACCATCAATTTTTCCAAGTGTTTTATCTTCGCTGTTTCTAACGTCCTTTTTCTCCTCTCTGTATCAGGTTTTGTTTCTGACGCGAAGTAATATTTCTTCATGTTTCATTCAGGCAACCTCTGTCTCTGTTTGCTCTATTCACTTGATCTTATACTTCTATTTCAAGCTTTTCGTAGGTAGTTAATGTGATGTCTAGATATTTAAACTCTATTACTTATTCTATCATCTGACCTTCCAGCTCCAATTTACATATTAGTAAATTTGTTGTTGTAAAAATGCATTTTGTCATTTTTGAGAAATTGCCATGTTAAATTTTCTGGCGGTTATATTAAATTGGTGAGCATACTCTGTAAATCATCTTTACTTAAAGAGAGTATTAAGTTGTCTGCATATCAAATTATTTTAAAAATTGTTTTTCTTCCATTTGGTAGCCTTTTTAGTTCTTACTTTTTTATTATTTCAACCATAATCAGGAATTAAAGGACCCAAGGAATTTCCCTATCTTATACCATTGCCAGCTTCAATAGGGTCAGTTAGTTCTTATCTTCTTTTACTTTTATTGTGTTGTTTTGGTAGATATTTTTGATCGTTTTGATTATTCCTAAAGGTATCTCTCTTGCGTACAATAAGTTGATAACGCCCTTTAGTTTGACCCAGTCAAATGCCTTCTTAAGTTCCACGAAACATAGATATGCCGGTTTGTTGTATTCTAATGATTTCTCTTGCAATTGCCTCATTATAAATAAAGCGTCGGTGCATGATCTTTACGACCTAAAAGTATGATAGCCGTAGCACAGATTTCACCGTATGATGAATAAGTTGTGGTGCGGATTTCTGGTGATATATCTAAAGGTGGATATTCTGGAATTACACCTATCATATGATTCTTTATACATAGAGGACGTCTTCTATTAGCTGTTGGTCTATGATGAGAACTCATCCAGAATATTACCAATAAAAAATGATATTACTGATAAGCTGTCTCAGATTGGTTATACCACCAACCTATTGCTTAATGCGCTTGTAATGTTTTTATTAATTTTCTTTCAATATTATTTTTGTATTTTAGTTAAATTTACAGTTATGTTATTTTAAATTCAGTTCACGTAAACATTTCATTTTAGCTGTTATGTCTATATTTTTTTGGTTACTTTATTTTGTTTATTATCAAAAAATTAACCACTTTTTATTATAAACTCCTCTCTTATTCAGCCCGCAAAATTTTTTAATGCATTATCTTAAATATTATAATGTTACTGTTTTTTAGGAGTGCCACATACTGCAGATTTATGGTATCTGTGGGATAGACAAAACACCAATATAAATAATGAGGCCCTGCGAAAACCTTTGTTGAAATGGTGGACTAATTTTATTAAATATCAGTAAGTATCACACCACCAAAAAATATATAAAGAGGTATTTACTTTACTTTACTCCGTGGCGTTACAACCCTTTGTGGGTTTTAGCCGACTCGACAACATGCCTCCACTGTTTTCTGTCTTGAGCAACTTCCATCCAATTCTCCACGCCCATAGTGCTTAGGTCTCCTGCTATATTATCTCGCCACCGGAGACGAGAGCGTCCGCGTGGTCTCCTTCCAGTTGGGAATTCCTCTCACGCCAGTCTTACTGTCCGTTCGTCAAAATATCTTCTGAGGTGTCCTGCCCATTGAAATCTTCTGGACTTTATTTCTTTTATAATGGTAGCGTTTGGGTAAAGATCTTCGAGCTCTTTGTTAGTTATTATTCTATATTGTCCTGATGCTTCATCCAGCACCGGACCAAAGATCTTCCTTAGGATTTTTCTTTCCCAAACACATAGTCTCTCTTCGTTTGCCTTTGTTATCGTCCACGTTTCGCTTCCATACATCACAACGGGTCGTATGATTGTTTTATAGACCTGTATCTTCGTACGTCTTGTTGGTTGTTTTAATTTTATAAGGTTTTGGAGGGCAAAAAGAGATCTGTTGCCGGCCTGAATCCTGTTGTTTATTTCTTTTGATCCGTTATTGTCTTCAGTTATTGTTATTACAAGATACTTGAATTCTCTAACGCGCTCAAAGTTAAGGTCATCGATGGTGATGTTCTGACCGATTCTGTCTCTGCTTTTTTTATTGCGGCGCATATATATATATATATATATATATATATATATATATATATATATATATATATTATATATATATATATATATATATATGTTTCGTCTTGTTTTCGTTGATTGGGGCCCCATTTTCTCTGCTTTTTTCTCGAACCTCACGTAAGTCTTCTTCATCCTTAATCGTGTGTTTCATATTTGATCGATATCGTCTGCAAATGCCAGTAGTAAGTTTGGTCCTTCTCGATGAAGTACTGTATTTGGTTTTTAGATTCTTGCACTTCTGATCATGTGCTCCAGAGCTAAGTTGAAGAGTTGTGGTGAAAGTGCATCTCCCCGTTTTAGTCCATTGTTTATTTCAAATGTCTCCGAGTATTGTTGTCCAACTCTCACCTTACATCGTAACCGTTCCACACACATTCGTATCAACCTGACTAGTTTTTTTTTTGTAAAGTCAAGTTCCTGCATAGCTGTCCACAGTCTGTCCCTGCATACTCTATCAAATGCTTGTTTAAAATCTATGAACATCTGATGAAGCGGACGATGAAACTCCCAGCATTTTTCCATTATCTGTTTTATTGTAAATGTCTGGTCAATAGTAGAGCGGCACGGTCTAAATCCGCATTGATAATCTCCAACGATTACTTCTGTGTATGTTTTGGTTTTTTCTAGCAGGATGTTTGCAAATAATTTGTAGGTGGTGTTTAGAAGTGTTATTCCCCTGCAGTTAAAGAGGTATACAAATGATAATTGCCAAATAGTTGGAAATGTATGTAAACATTGGTTTTTATGTTTTCTTTATTCAAAGATATATTGTTATCTGATCTCGCTTTATTTGCAATTGGTCTTTATTTGTGTTTCTATAAAATGCTTTGCTATATTTTAGAAACCCTACTCCAGTTGCTGATGAAGAACTTCAAAATGTGATTTGGCCCAAAGTTCATCCTAATTCGGTTAAGTATTTGGATATAAGTTCAAAGTTCTTAGTGAAGGAAAATCCACGAAATTACTACAGTATTAAGCAGCTATTGGACAGTTATATAAATCCACCTTACATAACGTACTAAATATGTAGTGCTTTGTAATTTTGGTTTGTTTTACAGTTTACATAGATGTACACATTTATACCTGTATTTTTTATTGTACACTTCTAGTCAAAATAAACCAGTCACTTTATTAAAGCAAAATAATATTATTTACCTTTCCCTCATTTGCAAAAAATATTTTCTCGTAATTTTCACAAAGAAGAACCAAAAGAAAGTTATTGAGATGGACAAGGTATATCAAAGACAAACAATCTAACATAAAGAAGAGACTTATAGTCGCCATTTGAGATTTAAGAGAAATACCAAACAGATAAATAGATCTCGATAAAGAACTAAAGAAGCCCTTGACTAACCTTGTTTAAACTGTATTTTTGAAATTTCATATGCTCTACACATATCTCTTCCCTTTTGTTAGGTTAACTCATGATTATGCAACATTTTTTATTCTAGATCTTTATTGATTTTTTCTAAAACTAGTCTATCCCTGATCATTGAGTCTAGGACATCTCGAAATTCACAATTTTTGCCAATTTACGCAAGTCAGTTAGGTAAGTATCAAAACTCTCCTTCCTCTTATTTTCTAATGTAGAATAAATATTTTTCGTAAATCACATTCTTTTTAGTGGTGAAGTAATTCTCTAATTCACCCAATACTGTATCATACGATTTTCTCTGTGCATCCGTTAACTTTAAGGTGTTAAAGACATTAAGTCCTTCATCTCCCAAAAAATTTAACAGTATAGCAATTTTTACTGTGTCTTCCTTTTCGGCCTTGTCACTGGCCAAGAGGTAAATTTCAAATGACTATTTGAATCGCCGAAAGTATTCAGCCACCTAGCCTTCAAATGATAGTGGTTGAGGTATTCTAAACTCCATATTGTTCTAATTTTAACAACTTCTTGTTTTCATTTATTTTGGAAGCAGCAGGCTTCATTACCTACAAGACTGCGCCATGTAATAATGTTTAGTGCGGACTTTTATACATCTTTATTAATATTGCTTTCAGTGATACAGTGTCATCGTAACCTAATCTAAAGTGCTTAACCTCTATCTATGCCATATGCCATGAGACCTTGTGGCCTGTCGCATGTCATAGTCCTGTCAGGACTTTTCATTCATGAGCTATTCAGTTTGATGACATAGACTATAACGAAAAAACTAAATATATTATACAGTTTTCAGTTACTATTTTTGGTCTGTTTTATTTAAATTTACATTTTTTATATCCGTTGCAAAAGACAGAGAAACTTTTAGAAATGTGATCGCCAACCTCCGTTAATGGGGACGGCATAAGAAGAAGAAGATATCCCTTGGAAATCACTATATTTTCTACACTCATATGTTTTGTAAATATCGATCTAAACGAAAAAATATCCTTATAGAGACGTGAAATAAATCGAAAGCAATCGCAATTTTTAAATTGCAAAAATTACCTTTTTAATAAACAAATAGACTCAAGTATTTGAATAAGCTATGTACACTTCATCTAATTTATATACCGATGAACGTCATCGGCGTCATAGCCTGTGACGTCACATGATACCAACACAAAATATTTAGGTTGTAGGTGTGTTCTTTTTTAGAATCACTTTACCGAGTACACTGGCGTTACAGCCACTAGACATATTTTATTATATACGCGTAGAAATAATATTTAAAAATTTCTATTAATGTTAACTTAAAGAAATACACAATAATGTTTCATTTAATTTGTATAAATGCATTATAAAGCGTTTTTATCAAGAACATTTGTTCGGAACACACTGTAACTGTAATCGAACAAAGCTAAAATTTTGGCATAAATTGGTAACACTTATTTGACAGTTGCGGTGTTGACACTTTTTGTAATTCATTATTTTGAATTTTAAAGTGAATATCTCTTGTTTTATATCTTTTAACTATTTAATAAAATCTGTTCTTTTTAGAACAAAATTAGTGTGTTTTATTTCAAAAATATCACGTAAGAATTTAAATAGTCGTTGTAAAGAGATGGTAATACTTTTGCAATAATTATGTAATCTATTTGATTTAAAATGGAGTCAGGATTTTTTTATACTTTGGCAACTATGTCAACTTCGATCTCTGACGTAGATAATGAAGTAAGTCGTTATCTAAATTAGATGAAGTATATATAAATATATTTAAAAAGTCTAAAATGAAGCCTTTTTTAAAAAGTCTTGAATCAAAAAAAGTGAAGTCTTCTGTAGAGACAAATTTTTTGAGGGATTTTACAAGTAACTTCAACGAAGTCTTCTGTAGTGACAGATTTTTTGTACAGTACAAGTAACTTCAACGTTTTAATCAATAGTTAAACAATGGCAAACCGATACTGTCATGAAACAATTATTCTTATTTCTTTTCACCTAAGCTTTGATTTGAAAAGTTTCCAATTTGAAACCTGATACGATACAATTTGTTTATTTTGGCAACTGGGCAGAACAGAGCAGTTCCGCCAATATTTAAACATAGGATTATCTCCTCAAACTGATCGGATTCGGGTTATCGGCAATAAAGTACAAGGTAAAATCGATTATACATAAATATGTTCAATATCTTCAAGGTGACCCCTGTTTAAAATACCTGTTTTTTATTATCGTTTTATCAATTATTTTGAGATTCACCAAATGATTTATGAACACGAATTTTTGAATATAATAGAATACACTGGATTATCCAAAAGATAACAAGTAATGTATTTATCAACAATTAATTATATTAATATTATTATAACATTAATTATATTAATATTAAATTAATACTCTTAAAAACAACAACGTTTAAATTGTGATAAAATTGTTGATTTGTATAAATGTAAAACAGTTTAAAATTTAAGAATGTATTATTGCAGTTTTCACATATATTGGATATTTCACAGATAGAGACAGAAAGAAAAAAATTAAAAAGAAGGAGAGGGAGAGAGAGGGAGAGAGAAAGAAAGAAAGAGAGAGAGAGAGAAATGGATGGGTACAAAAACAAGACTACATTATAATGCGCTCCCTAACTTTCGCGTGATTGGTTGGTGGGTGGGTCCCAATTTAAAAATTGGCGGGTTTCATGTTTATTAAAATGACAATAAAATTGAGGTATTGTGGCACAGTATATCGCTAAACAATTTATTAGCAATAAATTGTGGTATTGTTACAAAGCGGATCATATTCACATTTTAGGATTAAAGCTGACTAGTACAGTTTTATTAGAAATTAAAATCTATTTTTCTTTTGACATTATGTAGTAAAATTAAATTCTGACATTGTGTTTATTAATTTTGATATGTTAGTGATGCTTTTTTTTTATATAGATATATAGATATGTTTTAATTTTTTTGTTTAGGTAATTTTTTATTAAGATTTAGAGGTTCCTCTTATTATTTTGATTTCTAGAACATTTGTTACCATTATTATTCTCATTAGGTTTCTCTATGTGGAATCGCTTCTCTAAGTATTTCCTCTAAACTTTTCGGTTCTCTTCCAAGACTAAGTACCTCTCCGCTTTTTTGTATGAGATTATGGTTTTTCAGAAACATGTAATTTCTGTTCATCCCCTTTTTTACTGCCCTACATTCAGTACCATACATCATAGCTGGTATAAAGGCAGTCCTATACAATTTAGGAGACCTTAGAAGGGGTTTTCCTTCGCCATTGCACCAATAACGGCCCCCCCTCCTTTGATTTCCCAGATTTTTAATAAAGAATAAAGATATTTTAGATATAGCTATTTAGTGTTTATTTGGTTTGCAATCGTTATTTCCAGTAAACCTCTGCTTCATTTTGTTGACAATGACAATTTTTCATAGCACTCAATTCACAATAGATCTTTTTTATTATCCTATATTTGTGGTAAAATCTAACAGAATTCAGTGTATCAGGCTCTAAAAAATGAAAATTGGATAAATGTCAATTTGGCTTTAGGCAAGGCAGGTCTACAACAAGCAATTTTTATTAAAAGATCTAATTTAACAATTTAGAGTGAATTTACATTGTATTATTAAACTTGAGAAAGCACATGATGAAGATATCAGAAACCTACTGTGGCAGAGATTAAGTAGGAAAGGAGTGCCGGCCTGAATATGTGAGTGGAGTAGCGCAAGTAACAACTATAATAGTGTTAAAACAACTATTATAGTGTTAGAACGATTACAGGTGAAACTGGCAAATTTTGTGTAAAAATGGGTGAAAAATCAGGGTTTCGCCTATATTTTATTCTCATTTGTGCTGGATTAGACAGGTCCAAGACAAGGGAACAGGTCCTTGAAGAAAAATGATTAAAATTAAGTTGGATACAAACAAAATATTTAGAATATTCTTTTAAAGATGAAATTTCAAGATCAATAGAGTAGTTGGCTTTGATAGACAAGCACTCATAAAAGATGATAATGTTCGGCTTTTAGGATTGGTATTACCGTTTTTTCTCTAATATATTCAATTAAAGGAAAGGAAAGGCAAATTGAAAAAAGATACCAAGAAAACTAAAAGGTAAATTGTATAGGACTGCCTTTAGACCAGCTATGATGTATGGTACTGAATGTAGGCCAGTAAAAAAGGGGATGAACAAAAATTACATGTTCTGAAAAACCATAATCTCATACAAAAAGCAGAGAGGTAATTAGTCCCTGGAAGAGAACAGAAAAGTTTAGAGGAAAATATTTAGAGAAGCCGATTCCACATAGAGAAATCTAATGAGAATAATAATGGTAATGAATGTTCTAGAAATAAAAATAATAAGAGGAAGAGGAAGAATAAAAGAATCTTAATAAAAAATTACCTAAACAAAAAAATTAAAGCAATATCTATATATCTAATAAAAAAAATCATCACTAGCATATCAAAATTAAATAAACACAATGTCTGAATTTAATTTTACCTACATAATGTCAAAAGAAAAATAAATTTTAATTTCTAATAAAACTCTACTAGTCAGCTTAATCCTAAAATGTGAATATCATCCGCTTTATACAAATACCACAATATATTGCTAATAAATTGTTTAGCGATATACTGTGCCACAATACCTCAATTTTAATA